TAAGAAGCTGTTCCCAAAGTAAAACGATTACCAATTAGTTTTGTATGCTAAATAAATGGTAGAATTTTATTAATGCCTATTGAATACGATTTACATTTAAAAAAAAAATCTTAAATTTTAAGAGGTTCTGCAACATAATAGTCCATCAATATTTTTCGAACTCTTAGTATTAATTTAATAAACAACTTATCAAAATCATAAACTAATTTCCTCATTTCTCACTAATTACCATAATAATAAATTATATACTATTCTACAAATACCTATATTGCGGCTATATCTTATAGTCTCTGTTTTCTATACTAATTGGACTTTATGCCCGTTAAATAAATAAATAAATAATTTAACGGAATAATCGTCAAAAACGTTAATGATTTTTTACAATTTCAATTCCTCACGGTATTACATAATACTAACATATTTTACTACCAAAAGCCAAGGTAAAAGGTCTTCATAAATAAATAGGATATTAAATTGGAGATGGCTTGATTTTAAAAAAAAATGGTTGTTCCTGGAACTATGACATGTTAAGTGTCACAGTGTTGATGTCTTTACCATGAAATATGGAGTATGAAGGTATTATGGAGGAGGATATCGAGGTTAATTAATAAAGATAATAGTACTAACTTTCATTATAGTCCTACGATACAAAATTTGAAAAATTCAAAATCTTACAGCTCCTAGTAAAAAAAAAGTCTCTATTATAAAACGTTTACCAAAGGTTCTACATACATTTAAGTAAGTGCTGTACACAATTTAGAATTTTTAAATTATTCATGACCCTATTGTGGAAATTGGTAGGTGCCCTGCCTGAGACCTATTGTAGCAATAAATGAAAATAAAATTATCGTTTTCATAATAACTATTATTTATATAGTTTTTTAGTAAAAAACAATAATGATACTGAGTACCATATTTTTTTATACTAGTCAGTTTTATTTTATTTTATATTTGTTTAATAGTGATCGTCAAAAAGTGCTATTTTTAACGGGTTGGTTCTACTTTTGATTTCTACCCTTATTTTTCTACTATTAATCAAAGTCTATGCTAACGTGAGTGACAGGTCAAATGTATTTCGCCGTATGTAATCGTCGTGTAGACTAAAATTATCGTTAGTTCTTACAGAAAATATGACTATATTTTCTTACTGAAAATTAAGGTACGTTTTGCCGTTGTATTATCATAAATCGTATACACGCGGAAGACACATTTGTTTTACGTTTTTAAAGCGCCTCGCTATAATACAAAAGTATTATAATATTTCGCAGATTAAGCAAAAAATGTAAGAGGTGACAAAATGACAGTGTTGAAATTATGGTATGCAATGGTTTTTCTCATAACCGGTGTGCGGACTTCCAATGACAAGGAAGAAGTGGAGAATGATTTGGATAGAATACAACAAAGCTCGAAAAATCAATTGGCTACCGGTTACAATGACGACGGCCAATCGATATGGTACCGGTTTTCTACGACATCAAAGGCGTTCTCAGGCCTGATACAATTGAGGATTTTTTGTTCGATAAAGAAGCGTCCATGATGCTCGATTCGTTGCGGAAGCCAAAAAACTATTTGGCAAACAATCCGTGGTTACTTTTTATATACGCCCGTCAAATAAGGGTTTACTTCGAGCAAATTCCGACAATTCCGACAGGTCAACACTCTTTGACAGAGCACCTTTTCCGACAGGTCACAAGCGAGTTGGAGGGTGTCGAAGCTCTTGGCAGGAGACAGCGTCAGATAATTGGCGAGAACCTACTATCAAAGCCTACCGTTGATGACTTTCTTAGAGTAGGCGAAATGTTTGTCGTTAAAATTGAAAATCATATAATACCACATTCGATCGGGTTGGCGGAATTGTTTTGGAAATTGGGCAAAGTGCTACCGAAAACTACTGCTACGCTGTCTCGCGTTAAAGCTAATTGACCTATAACATATTATATTATAATCATAAAAAAAAAACAATCGTTCGTATTACAATATCAAGGCACTTTTATTTAATCATAATGAACTTTTTTTTTATTATTTCGGTTCTGGGTTTATTTGAAATTAGTACAAATAAATATATGTATGTACAAGTACAAATTTATAGCAATACAGAACTTGGTCTATAGATCCTTCAACGTACTCGGAGAAAATCGCTGTCAAAAAAACGCTTAAATGCTAATTAAAAAAAAATAAGACAAAACTTGTACTTGAATATTGAAAGGTTACCAGGATCACCCTGAAGAGAGTCCATACAAATATTTTTTAATTAAACAACATAATATATAACAAAAGCAAATTCAGTCGTTCTAAAATACAAATTATAAAACATTATATGTATTTTACCCCTAGTTGGCTTTGACCCTAAATACCCTAAAACTTCACCTCCTAAAAATCGAAATAAAGAAAAAGTTTCCACGCCTTCCAGGGGAATAGATAGATGCTAAATTATGTAGAACCAGTTTAGAAATATTCAATTCTACTAGACCTGTAATTGAGAGTTAGTAATAAATCCACATACAAGAAACGCTTTGATTATAATCTGCAGATATTGGACACCAATTTGGTAACTTCTTACTGCGGTGGTTTGAAAATACCAACTACTGATTCGCATCGATGCATTTATTTGAAAGTGATTTTGTCTTAAAAATGTGTTAATTCTTTGATCCCATTTTGCCTCTACGCCACTGACATGCTCGGATAAAATAATTTTCAAATAATCGCTTTGATGCTAATAAAAAAAAAAAAAAAAAATAAAGACATAAAACTTGTGCTAAAAACTTACTAGAATCACTCTAAAGAGAACTTTTACCAACCCTCCCCTCCCCTCCAGTTACCAACTATATATAATTTGTGTTTTATAGCGTTGTTACTTGAAGGAATCGGCCCAGTATTAAAAAAGTTACAGTGGATAAAGACACAAAAAAAATATTACTCGTAATACGGATTTTGTATTTTTAACTTAAGATAATTGTATTTTGATTTTCAAGGTACACGTATCTTGTGTTTTTGTTATTTAGTCGACAAAACACTGTATTTTGCCCAACCTTGGATGTAGCTCCACGCCAGATTTACCTTCAGTCAAATGTCCAGACCTTGAGACTTGATACTTTCCTTGACCAACAGAAAAATAATAAAAGTTTCTATTCTTTTTAGAAGATAGGTGATATTCTTTTAGTTTTTCATAGTTTATCGATAGTACTTGCAAAAATGAAGTGTAAAAAATTTCAATTCAAAACATTTCCAGTTGAAAAATATTGATTTTGGTCTAAAACGTTATAAAATATTTTGACGATTCGTTTTTTTACCAAAAACAGGGGTTTTTTTTTCGTATGTCACACGATCAGTATGATCCTTCTTATTATTGAAAAATTATATTAATTTATTATTATTTTATTAATAATAATAATGTAAATAATGATCAATAGATTTTGGTCACAAAGTCTCTGTTATTACATTATATTTAAAAGTGATATTTTAAAAGGTTGAATAAAATCCATATATGTTGTTTTTAAGAATTCCATGTACAATAGAAGTTTTTAAAATACACCATCAATTGTATAGGCGTATGTGAGAGAAAATAATAAAAAATTTGAATATAATTAAAAATGAAGAATAAAAGAGAAATAATAATAATAGTAGTTTATTATTATTATTATTATTATATTATTAATTTTTAAATCTTCAAAGTATTATTTTAAATATAAATCACTTTTTCTATTGGAAAAAGCCTTTTTTGTTTATTTTAGACAAAATTCCGACTACATAGAATGGTACAATTTCTATTATTCTGTAAAAAGATTCGAGTTCTTTGGTTACTTTACTATGTTATGTAGGAAGCAAATTTTCATTTAAAAACTTCAATTTCGTGTAATTAAATAAATCAGATTTGCAATTTTTTCCATATTAAAACCCAATTGTTTTTACATAAGAAAAGCAAAAGATCAAAAATCTGTTTCCTACATACCCTAGTTAAGTTGCAAAGAACTTATGTATCTTTATAGAATTAAAATCGGACCATTTTGAGTAGTCCAAATTGTATCTCGCTTTTTGGTCTAAAACGTAGGGGTTAAAAAAAACAATATAAGTTACAGCTTTTAAAGCAATACGATTTGTAGAATAAAATATGGACAGTTACAATATATTTAACTAAAGGCACTAGTCATAACAGTTGTGTTGCTACACTTTGAATTTGTTGATGACAATAATGTAGCGCATTTAAAAGTTACTAAGTAAGTATTGCATGAATTTGGAAACAAACTATCTAAAACGTCCATGACATAATATTTTAGGTTAAATAGGCCATTTTTTTTAGTTAAATTCCTTATAAGCCATCTGTTACTAATACAGAAATAAAATAATTATTTTATCGACAAAAATCTAAATATTTGTTTTACTTTCATTTTCACTTCCTTCGATATTATTCAATAATTAAAAACAATAATTTCATTAATCGAATTATTAAAAAGCTGTGTCAATATATAACATATTGAGATCTAAGTTTAACGTCAATCACATGACACACACAGTTTTTTTTTTTTTATAATTCTACAGCAGAAGATACAAGCTCAATATTGCACTCATGACTAGTTTCAACAACGAAGAACAAAAAAAAAAAAAACACTTACTTCGAGTGGTTGAAAATCATAGAAATTGTAGAAAAAAAAGTTTTTTTAAAAAAAACTAATTAATACGAATGTTATTAAAATATGGTAACTAAATATGTTCAATATTACAATTTTCTTTTTAGTATTTTGCTATTTCAATGTTGCAGTAGAGTGATAAATATGCAAAACAGATTTAATTTATCATATACTACAAATTGAATACAATTTCGGATTATATCCTAAATATGTGATTTTAAAAACAAAATACTCAATCTTTTTTTGCACCACCCTATACTATATACTATATCCTGTATATTATGTACAAAAAAATCCCCGTTCTTAGACTTTTTCTTATAAAATCCTCGATTGCTATTAGAGGGTAGAAATTTGATAAAAAAAAATGCAACTTACCGGAACAGCAAATTTGTAAAGGTGTATGAACAATGCACAATCCGAACTTGCCTCGCACTCGCACTACCACGGTGGTTGGACACTTGGATATTACTGATGGTGTAGGGAGTACAATTATCTGATAACACTATTGACCGTGTGCAGACATTAAAAACAATAATATAGCAACGTCTCGTCAACGATTAAAACCGCCGTTTATTGTATAATAACAGTAACAAGGTTTCACACTGTGTTCTGTTTGCTTACAGCGCAAATAATTGAGTATCGCGTGGGTAAAATAATATAATATGTACATATAAGATAAGCGTTTTTAATGTTGCTGTTGTTCAAGAATATCGTAGTATTTTTTAACGCGCAATAGAAATTAGAAAAAAATGTTAGGTTCTCAAAGTGGTGGAAATTGTTATTTCGCTTCAAGTCGGTCGGGTAAGAACTGAGATCACCGTGTACAGTAATATGTGCTGTTCTATCGTCCGAAGGACAAGTCAGGCTGTGCAAAACAAGGGGTGTTAATATATTGTAAAAGTGGTGTAATTCCAAATTTTTAAAACATACATAGTTTTGCTTAACGGAGTCACGCCTTTAGTTGTCATATCTTTTGTTAAAAAAATAAAAAGAAGAAAACTACAATAAATACAAAAAAAAAAAAAATAGAAAACACTGAATGAATACTTGTATTTGTTTTCCTACTGATTAATTTGCAAACAGCTAGTTATTTCAAAATCCAATTACAAGGAAATAATTCACTGTTACAATGAACGACACATTAATTTAGTAATAAAATAGCAAACGAAAAAAAAATAATTGGGGAGGTATTTATTTAATTTATGGCGACTCCAAAACGGTGTAAGAGGAAAATATTTTTGACGTCACTACTTGAAAGTTCATTTAAATATAAAAGTTCTGTTTTTTAAGTTAGTAAATCGTTTAGTTACAAAATAAAACAATAATAACAAATCAAATATTTTTCACGTCATGTACTGTTTCAAAGTTTTATTGACATAATATTTCCAACGAACCCACTCCAAGTATTGTAGCTTCAAAATCGATTAAGACAATATATTATAGTCAAAAGATGTAAATCTTCACACGTTTTATTCAAATGGACAAAATAGCTTAGACTCGCCTCTATATATATATAATTATTATCTAATCGAGTTCATATTTTGACATTTTCTATTTTTTTGCCATAAATTAAAAATTTATGTGGCGCGCAAAAAAAAATGTTTGAGTAGGTCTAATATAATATACAAACCAACCTACTTTGCGCCAAGTAAAGGCGAACAATTTTTTATCAATGTGTCAGTGTATTTTTCATGAAAAAAAAAACATATTTAAATTTAAGGTCATTCGTGTTTTTCCTATGAAGATTCCATGTTATCTTTGCACTTTAAACACACTGTACAATATCTATATATTATTATGTACATTAAAGTATAATGTCTTTGACTACGGTTTAATTATGTATGTATTTGTTCCAGAACCAAAATAACAACAAACATTGGTAATTATCGGTGGACTTTGAAATCGACGATAATACTGAATTAAATGTATCTATTTGTTGTATGATTGTATTATTATATATTTAATATTATTATGAGTGGCTGGTCTGGATTCATAACCTATGTATAATATCTCACGTGTAATTGGAGGAAGTAGTCAAACATATCACAAGTGGAGAGACCGTTGGTGCTAGAAACTGATAAGTACCTATAGTTGTAAGAAGTGTGGGTATAAACGTGGACCAAGAAGCTGCTCTGCATATGGAAAAAATTATAACAAATCTGGAAGACCTAATCATTTAGGCCTAATTTTTAAAATTAGACGCAGAGCTAATCAACATAAGGTTTTGAATATTGTGAAAATAATATTGTAAATAGTGGGTCTGAGCATAACTTAATTGATATTTGTTCAGTAATAATATCGAATGTAAGTGAACAGAATATTATTCTGAGTTGTTGTACTGAAGTTAATAAATTAATAAATACAAATGAAACAGTGTATTTAAGTTATTAAATACTATAATAATTAATAACTAACATCAATATTTTTTTAAAGTACCTACTATGGAATTAATGAAAAAAAATATTTTTTTTGAATTGTTAAACAACAAAGTTTAATTCCATGCAAAATCTGATTATAAAATTTAAATACAATTAGACTTAAAAAAATACTTGATATGAATACGGATGAAAAATAAAAAAAGTTATAATTTATTTATTTCTATTTATTGTTTCAATTGTTTTTTTTTTTTAAATACATTTTAATTAAATTGTGTATTATTATTTTTTATTTACATAAGCTTTTTGGTTATAACTAGTCTTTAACGTTATGCAAAAATTTAAAACTTCAAAACAATATTTAAAAACATAAAAAAGCAATGTTTTAAGTGTATAATGTACGGAGTTTATACATACTTCTGGGTATATATTATTGTTCTTTGAATGATGTATAAAATTATATTTTTTTGTATTAATTAATAACAATTGTTTTTAGGAAATGTTTTAAAAAGAAAATAATTAAAAAACGCTCCTGAAATTAAATGTAGCCATTTTATTTACCGTAATAAAATAAGAAACACTTGACCCACCAAAATACAAATCGCATACGATTACAGATCATTACATTTGCTATGTAATTTAATCAGTCCACAGTAAAATATGTAATAATGACTTCAGAAACCAACTAAAACGAATCGTTGTAAAAGCTAGACCATTGATTATAAATAATATACTGCACTAGCTAAAATGGTCAATACCAATGTTTTTGAGATAATACACGACATCACTATGAATATCAAATTTAAAATAACTAATTTAAACAACTTTTTTTGATAAATTCTATTACTTGTAAGTATTTTCGACTAATCTTCTTGTAGGTTAATTTTTGACTGTTGAACAACTATATGTCGGTGTGTTGAATGGCTCACTTCTTCATGTTTTTCGGTTTTAATTTCCGGCACCGTCCCATTTTCAATTATACTAGAAAATTAAAAATTACATAAGTCTTTAAAACTAATAGTAAAATATAACATTTCTTTTCAATTTTTATTCCATGGACAACCTTACAACTCTATCTATCTCTTTCTAACGTTGTTCATAACGCGGCAATATAGGCGGGGTGTGTGGGAGGCGCAGTCCATATCTTTATAGGTCTATGTCTCTTTTATTCTTAATATTATCAAATACTATAGATAATTATCTATTATGTAAAATTATTATACCTTCAAAATGTATTACTAATAAAATAAGTAATTAACAATATTTGTTAAACATATTTACTGCCAACTATATTAATCGTTTTTAATTGAAGTGTCTTCATTTTTAAATATTAGTCCAAAAATCATCTATAATGGATATTAACTACTTCCTGGATTCATTTTAGTCAGTATGAAATAATAAAAATTCAAAATCATGATAAGGATCATTTTTAATTAGGTACTTACAATTTATACATTATTTGTACATAATTATTATATACACACACTATTTAAATATGAATTCTTTTACTGTGTTGGTACCAATTTAGCCAATTTTTTTTTCTTGGTATTTTGCATATGAATATTGTCTCATACGTATTGTTATATACATTATATATATATTGGTCATGATTTCACCTTTATGTTTATTACAGCCCCACATTAATTTGAAATTTGTATTTAATCCATCAAACGTATCATTAAATACATTCAACTAATCAGCATGTTTTTCAAAGCTTAACTCAAAAATGTTTATAAAAATTTAAAGGTTATGATTTGGGTGAGTCAAGTATCTTCTAGTTTTTTAATTTACTAATTCTGCTGCTGGGTGTGATACCTCTCCAACTTGTGTATTTAAATAATTTAAGCAGTCTCCACATTTAGTATTTTTTTTACAGCTATTATACCTGTTAAAAATGTAATTTTTAGTCATGCAATTGTTTGAAAATTAAGGAATATATTTAAAATAATTACCCTGTCAAAAAATATATTACACATTTAAACTCTGTGGATTCTGATTTGTTACAATAATTGTGATCTTGAAAAATGTCGTCAAATTCCCATTGACCTTCTTTTACTATATTGTCAAATTTTGTTTGTAGTCTTTCAATTTTTTCTGTTCTCTCTAATTTTGAATTTTGTTCATTTACTATTTCTTTTAAATCGGCTATAGTTATAATTGGTATATTTTCTAAATAAAATGGGAATGATATTGCTGTTTTAAAGAATACAATTAATAATTACTATGTAGGTATTGTTACCTTTAAGGATAGAATAATTTCCTGATTTAGGAGGTTTGACTATAGAATATACAGAGAGCATTCTATATAATTGTAAAAATGTTGTTGATGATGGATGATTATTTGGCCCATTTACTTGTCTTACTATCCCGAAAAATCTTTTAACATAAAAGAAAAGTGCAGTTTTATATAAAATTTAATTAGTTTAACTTTATATTGATATAAATAATTATGATATATCTACCTCAAGACAATCTTGATTCATTTTGGCTGTTAAAACATACACAAACCCGCACTGATCAAGTAAATAATTAGTCAAGTCTATGGTTGACGTAATGGTCATTCTTAATCCTTCGGCTGTTTGTCTAGTAAGAAATTCATCTTCTGTGGTTAATTTTGTATTCAAGTTATCTTCCCAATTGTTTAACCAATTTAATGCATTATTCAATACCTTAAAAATAAAATAAATTTAATAAATGGTACCTAAATCTATTTTATGTTTCATAAGAGAAAATTACATCACTATAAATATTTTGAGACTTACATGCATGTAAAAAATTGAGTAAAGTGTTAAACACATATTTTATAGCAAAGCACTATATAAGATTGGTAAATGGTTTACACCATTACTTTTTATGAAAACAATTTTTATGACATTTATATTGTATTATCTTTTATATTTTATAATATGTACTTTATCAACAATTGTTAAATGCTTTTATGGTAAAAAAACAAAATAATATCAAAACTAAGTGGTCTTTCTTTCTTACGTTGTACGTCCGTTATTTTTAATATGCACAAGGTATTAAGTCACTTAAAATGATATAGTTTATTGGTGTGAAGATAGTCTTGATTAATT